TGAGGGCACTGCTCAGGCAAAGGTGTGAATCTGAATGCCTGCCCCCTTGGCCACCTGCAGGTCTCTGGCCCCTGCCCCTCAGCAACGGTGAGAGAGAGATGAGGAGCAACAAAGAGCAGCGGTCAGCAGTGTTCGTGATCCTCTTTGCTCTCATCACCATCCTCATCCTCTACAGCTCCAACAGTGCCAATGAGGTCTTCCAATATGGCTCCCTGAGGGGCGGCAGCCGCCAGCCCATCAACCTCAGGAAGTGGGGCATCACCGATGGCTAAGTCCTCATTCTAGGCAACAAGATGCTACCCTTCTGGTGCCACCAGTGTGTGATTGTAACCAGCTCCAGCCACCGGCTGGCAACCAAGCTGGGCCCTGAGATTGAACGGGCTGAGTGCACAATCCGCTTGAATGACGCGCCCACCACAGGCTACTCAGCAGATGTGGACAACAAGACCACTTTCCGTGTGGTGGCCCATTCCAGTGTATTCCGTGTGCTGCGGAGACCCCAGGAGTTTCTCACCGGACCCCCAAAACCGTGTTCATCTTCTGGGGTCCCCTGAACAAGATGCAGAAACCCCAGGGCAGCCTTGTGCGCATCATCCAGCGGGCAGGCCTGGTGTTCCCCAACATGGAGGCCTACTCCGTCTCTCCCGGCCGCATGCGCCAATTTGACGACCTCTTCCGGGGTGAGACGAGCAAGGACAGGTAGCAGCCTCCTGTCTGCTCCCTCCGGACAGCCCTCTGCTCCCCCGCCCAGCAAGCTCTGCCCAGAAGGCCTATTGCTCCTGGCGTGTACTGCTCTCAGGGTGTGGTCATTTCTTGCCAACCTCTGGTCAGGTTTCTTAGAGGAATTCTCTTCATGTCCAGCTCTTAGCACAGGTCATTTCCAACATGCTCTGTATGGCCTTGTCTCCCCAAGAGGACTTACTCTTAGCATGCATCCTTCTGAGGAAATGAGGGTTCCCAGCATGCTCTGCTGTAAGATCACGCAGTCACTCCTGGCATCTTTCTAGGAGAGCTCCCTGTATAGTGTGCCTCATGGAAAGTGTTGACTATTCCCAGCACTTCTTGCTTTAAGCATACTGTTGCTCCCAGCATGCTCTATTCTATGCATACATCACTCCCAGCACTGCTCTGACTAATCTCCCTAGAAAAGCTAGGCTAGTGCCATCCAATATGCAAGCCACATACATAATTTAGATTTTTCTAGTAGCGACATTAAAATAGTAAAACGAGGGCCGGCCGAGTGGCGCGATGGTTAAGAACTGGCTTGGGACGCCAGAAGCCCCAGTTCGATCCCACATATGAGAGCCAGTGACACTGCCCTCCACAGCTAAGATGCTGAACAACAGCTCAACCTGGAGCTGGGCTGCCGTGAGTCGCTGACGATGGCATAAGCTGCAGGCCCTGCTGCAGTGGGTTGCCATGGGCTACCGTGTGTAGCCAGCACCCAGCGTGAGTGGCCCTCAAGCCGCCGTGGCCGTCCAGAAGCCCGCGTCTGATGTGCCTTGCCTGGGAAGAGCACAATGATGGTGCCAACTTGGCCAGTAAAGCAATGTCCTCTACAACTAGACTGAATAACAGAAAGACAGCAACTTGTCTGTTCCCTTTCCCCCAATTCCCCAGTGAAAATCGTAATAAAAGTAAAACAAAAAAGGTGAAATTATTTTTAATATGTTTTATTTAACCCATTATATCCAACATATAGATCATGTACATATTGTGCTTGATTTATACCAAAACATTGGAAGTTTTGGAACTATTGTAAATGCCATTACAAAAAATTTTTTTTGGATTCTAATTGTTCATTGAAGGTATTTAGAAATATAATTGATTATTGCGTGTTGACCTTATATCCTGTAATCCTGCTNAAAAAGGTGAAATTATTTTTAATATGTTTTATTTAACCCATTATATCCAACATATAGATCATGTACATATTGTGCTTGATTTATACCAAAACATTGGAAGTTTTGGAACTATTGTAAATGCCATTACAAAAAATTTTTTTTGGATTCTAATTGTTCATTGAAGGTATTTAGAAATATAATTGATTATTGCGTGTTGACCTTATATCCTGTAATCCTGCTAAACTTACTTATTGTTTCTAGGAGATTTTTGTAGATTCTTTGGGATTTTCTATGCAGATGATTATGTGTGGACATGCAAATAAGGACAGTTTTATTTCTTCCTTTCCAAAAAAATAAAGAAAGAAACAAAGAATTCGTTTAAGAGCGCAAGCTCTGAGCAACAGGGCTCCCGGTTTGATTCCCAAATGGGCCAGTGACACTGCGTCCGTGCTG